CTGCCCTAGTCCTGCTGCCACACTCTTCTTGATCCAGGCCAAGATGTCCTTGGCCTTCTTGGCCACCTGTGCACACTGTTGGCTCACACTGAGCCAATGTCACCAGCACTGCCAAGTCCCTTTGTGATGAACAACTCTGTCCCCACTCCTCCCCCAGCCTGGAGCTGCATGGGATTGCTGTGTCCTAAGTGCAGGACCAGCTCTGAGCCTCACTGAACCTCATGCAGTTGTCCTCAGCCCATTGATCATGTTGGTCCAACTGCCACCTCCTTTCTTTAACCTGACTCCTACAGCTTCTGTGCCTTGTACGTCTTGTATTGGATGAGAGAGAGAACAGCTGATCCTCTCTTCATTTTCACTGCTGCAGGATGGTTTGACAGATTTCTTTTGTACACTCCACTCTCCCCTTAATTTGTCAGCTTTCCAAACTGAAGACCTACAGATTATTTAGTTGTTCCCTGCCTGGAATCTGTTTCATGCCTGATGGTAGCATTGGATTTTATGCATGTTATGGGTGTGGAGTGAGGAGGATGTGCCATGTGTAAACTTGTTTATTGGGAGAGAAATTCCAGAAACATTTCAGAAATTACAGGGATTTTGATGTTGGAGTAGTGTAGAACAAACACGACTAGCACAATACTTGTGGGAAATGGGTGAGTGAATGTAGTGGGAAAATGAGAAAGGAAAAACAGATAATGAGTGGGAATATGTGTTTGTAAAGAAGGGATGGGCTGTGAAAGGCAGTGAAAATGAATGTCCAGAATGGAGTTGTGAGTAGCAGGTGACCTAATAGTAACACTGCTCTGTATGAAGATCTATATGCCTGATGGTTTGATTCAAAGAATTAAGTGGCATTGTCTGAAATATCTGTGCATGGCCAGTGTCACAGACAAAGGGAAAGCTCTATTAAAGGTGGTAGAACTTTGCTGTTAGGTGGCTGCTTGGTTTTCTTCATTTTTCAGGGGAAAACTCATGGTCCAACCCCTCTTGGCCCTTGATCTCTCTGGAGCACAGTTTCCCTTGTTGTCCAACTGTGTTAATAGAGTCCCAGCTGTGCTTGGCACTTGCAAGTAAACCTCTTTGGGAATTATGACTAATGGTTATTTAGTCTGAAAACAAACATGTTGCTTATTTACCTTCTTCTGATGTGCAGGCAGGGAACATGGAGGGGGAGAGCTTTTGAAGGGGATATCTGTGTCTCCTCTCCATTGTTTTATTCTTTTTTTAGAATGTCTACTCAGAAACACTGCCGGGCTAGAAGTGAGAGAGCCTCTGCAGATTTTCTGCTTCCCTGTTTCTGTAAGGCTTTCTCTCTCTGAAGCATCCCTCTGGCTCTGGTGCCTTTACTTCCTGCCTCTTTTCACTTTCTCAGATAGCTGAGGGCACTTAACACCCTTTTTGTACTCAGATTCAAATCTGACAGCAATAAAGATTTTTTTCCTGAGGAGTCATACAGATGTACCACGACTGTAGCAAAGTTACTTTTTGTCTCAAGTCCCTTAGCATCCTATATTCCCTAATCTTTATTTCATTTCCTATTTGCTTACCTCTAATTTTTTCCAGATGAGATACCTTTTTCAACAGCTGAAGGTGATATTTCATCTTTTGTTTTAACTCCTTATTGTTCCAATGAGTAGTCATCATTCTGACAGTAAATTTAAATTGCTTTCAGCATTGTAGTATCAGCAGGTTTTCAGGAATTTTGTAATTTTTTTTCATAGATTGAATAGGTACATGAGATGTTCAGAAACATCTCTGATGAATTTCAGCTGTCAGGAAGGTCCCCCTGGGGATGAGTGCATGAATGTGGTGCACTCCCACCGTAGGAACAGCCATAAGGTGAGACAGGGAAGATCCAGACTAGATGTTAGGAACAATTTCTTCACTGTTAGGGTGGTCAGACACTGTAATAGATTGCCCGGAGACAGGGTGGAGTCACCATCCCTGGAAGTGTTTAAGAGGCATCTGGATCTGACACCAGAGGATATGGTTTAGGGGTTACAGCAGGGACAGGTTAATGGTTGGACTCAATGATCTTAGAGGTCTTCTCCAACTTTTATCATAGAATTATAGAATCAGCTGGTTTGGAAAAGACCTCCAAGATCATCAAGCCTAACCCTACTGTGGTCACTAGCCCATGGCACTAAGTGCCACATCCAGTCTCAGCTTGAAAACCTCCAGGCATGGTGAATCCACCACCTCCCTGGGCAGCACATTCCAATGCCTGAGCACTCTCTCTGTAAAAAATCTCTTCCTAAGATCCAACCTAACCCTCCCCTGGCAGAGCTTGAGTCTGTGCCCTCTTGTCCTGCTGCTGGTTGCCTGGGAGAAGAGACCAACCCCCACCTGACACCAACCTGCAGAGGGTGATAAGGTCTCCCGGGAGCCTGCTCTTCCCCAGGCTGAACACCCCCAGCTCCCTCAGCCTCTCCTCATAAGAACTATGATTCTACGATTCTAAGGGTTGGAAAGATTTTACTGAGCTTATAAAGCTTGGGCCTCTATCCCAAAGTCAGAGCTGACTCTGGGAGTATTCTTCCTCTCAGTAACTACTAGGCAAGCATAATAAAGTACAAATGGTCATCCCCATTCAGTTCTTATGGAATTGCATCCAGAGCCATGAAATTTCTTCATATAGCTGATAAGAAGCCTCAGTAAATAAGAATATAGACTGAAAAATCATATTAGCACAAGAACTAGAAGAGAATCATTGTGATCAGGAAGGATCTGTTCTAGCTAAAGAGACATTTCACTTTAATATTCATGTGAGGCTTGGAGTCCTGGTTTGTGAGACAAAATGAAGAATAGCTGCTTTTCTGTATTAGATGATGGTATCAACAGGAATTTATTATTGAGAAATAATATATATTTAATCTAAATTAATCTATCACATAAACAATCCATTTAAAAGTAAGCCATTCATTTGTAATGAAATTATCTCTAACAAGAGTTAATGAGGTTAGAGGTGCCTGATTCCTGAGAACAATTTTATTTTAAAGCCCAGGTCCAACCTACAGCCCTCCCAGTGGTTTGTGCAGGTAGCAAAACAGCTCTTCACTGAAGTCCTCTGTGCATGCAAGTCAGGATTGCAAAACCCAATTTGCCCTGGTAGAAGCATTGCAAATGTGGAAAATTATTGCAATGCTTGTAATTATTTCAGGATTAGTCACTCTATAATTAAAAAGTGAAAAGTTAAGCTTTTGTCCGTAGTTTTTCTGGTACAAGCCATAAGTGAAATAAATGGAGTCACAGCTGAAGTTTTCTCAGCTCGTCTTGTGACTGCATTCTCTGCTACCTACAGACTAATTACAGCTAAGAGCCTTACAGGAATCTCATGCTGGCAGCTTGTCAGATGTGATATCTTCTACTAGTTGTCACTAGATTTTAGTTGTGAGGTGCTGAGCACCTTCTGTGGATTTCTCAGCAATCCCAGCTATGTGTCAGAGCACCTGAAGGAACTCACCTTCTTCCATGATGGGACTGGTAATGATAACAACCTGGCTATTTTGTGAGCTGAGGAACTGAAATGGAGCTCTGTTGACAACTACCACTATATTTCTTAATCTTAACTTTTTTATTTCTGTGTCAGTTTGCAGCTGTAAACATCTCTCAGGGAAAAGTCTGGAATGTACTTTTATTCATGGCCCAATTTTCCAACTCCTTTTTTTTAAGCCATTAGAACTGCATCCATGGTAGCTCTTCTCATACAGTCCTGCTATTAAGCTTCATGAAAATAAGAAAAGCAATGTTAGAAACATTTGCACACATTAATCTGAAGAGGTTTGTCTTCTTTCCTTTATGTGTGTTGTTATAGGTATAATAATAATAATAAAATCCACACAATGTTGGAAAATACACTCCTTAAAGAAGGGCTATGAAACAATGGGAATTAAAAATGCCTAATGCCACTCACAGCTATTATTTTGTTGTTGTGACTGATGTCTAAGTACAACAGTCATGAGGTTGATGTCCTTATTTCACAGATTACAAGATTCAAATGCTGAATGGAAAGACCAGAATATCTCTGCTTACCTTACATTAAGCTTCTGTGTCCATATAGCTATTAAATCATTGAAGAATCTTATTTGATTTCTTGATCTGAGTTAATCATCCTGGTCTCCCTTTAGAGTCCACAGAGAGAAATAACTTATCTTCAACTGGCAGTTTATCTCACCTGGCAGATGACCTGCCCTTTGGAGATTCCTGGGTTTATCCCTGACAGTAAAGAAGCCTGGGGATGTTTACATGGGGCTGCCTGTCTGACTTCTGGACATGGGCACTTGGACCAAACTCATTGCTCCAAAGGGAGAGATTTAACTTCTTTCTTTCACCCCTTTTTCTTTTCACACTTGCACTAGGGTTGGTGTGGAAGTAGTTGGTCTGTCAGCTATTTCAGTAACTTGGTGCTTGTGTTGCCTTTGTTTATGTCACAGAAAATGAGGTGTTCAAATCATTTTACTTTTGCTGGATGGAAAAGCCTTTGTTGTGAAACTGGAATGGTTCCACAGGAATCTGTCCTCATGAGTGAGGAATGTGACAAAAGGAAAACAGTGTCAACTTTGCTCTCACTCCTGGTTTTTTGGATTGCTCTTTTGATCGTCTGGAGTGATATTAAAGAGGGCACAGCATGCACTGATGACAAGCAATGCAGTAACTCTTTAATCAGTTTGCACAGGACTTACTCAATAATTTTTTGTGCCAGTCAAACAGTTACAGGTGTTTGTGCAAAGTGGACGTTCATTATCATTAGTGTGATTGTGCCAGTCCCAGGGAGTTCAGGTAGGAGTCCTGTCAAAATGCTTTGGGAATATGAATTGTCCTTATTAATGTGTTTATCTCTGTGCTCTGCCCATACCAATATGCACACATGCTGTAAATCAGCAGCATCTACTCTGTGTCTTTATTTTCTCTTGTGTTTCATCTGAGCCAGAGCTGCTTCTTCCTCATTTGTTTGCTTGTTTGTTTGTATTGCAACACCTCCAACACAGTTCTCTTTTTTGACTGTTTTCTTGCCTTAACTGGAAATATATCACTCAAGACTTCCAGGTATAAGCTTTGCTCCTTTTGTTGGAGAGCCAAAATATAAGAAACAGTTTATTGAGAGGATGGGAGTGGGGGAGTGAACCTTAAATCAGCAATGCTAAAGAGTTGAGCACAAGATCCTAGGGATGATCCTCCAGGAGAGTGGCTGCCTGGACACTGACCTCTCTCCCCATGACCACACACCTTCTGAAACCTGAACCACCACTACCACCATGCAAAGTCTTACACTGCTGCTGAAAGGTACTAATCAGCTGCCTCTCTTCTGTATCAGCCACATTCAGAGGCAACTGCAAGAGCTGCTTTGGGCAGGTGGGACTGCCCCAGGATTCCCTTGCCACACTGGTCCATGAAAGCCTGTCCCCTTCTCTTAATGCTCCCCTAATTTAAAAAGTTATTTATTCTCACAGACTGCCCTGAGTCTCAATGAAACCTGACCAGCAAATCCTCCCACTGGAGTTACCAACACAAATTGAAGTGCTGAAGTTGATTCTTTGCAACACCTGGGACAGAGGATTTGGTTGCTCCACCTATTCCCCAGCTGCAATCTTTACTCCTTTATAGCCTGCAACTCAGCAATGTCATTGTAGGCACTAATTAAATTGAAAGAACCTGCCTCCTTGCTCCCAATCAATGGCACAATGACTCAATTAAGTTCCAGTGGGTTAGTTAAATTCACTCATGGGAAGAAGAAAATTTCTCACTAGCAACTGGTCCACTGGCATTGTAGCTATTAACTTTTCTTGACATGTGATGTCTTTAGGGCTGTTTATAACCCACCTCCTCTTTCTTTTTGCCTCTTTCCCAAGTTAAAATTCTGTTTTCTGAGCTTGGGAGGAACTGTGGTTCCTAGACCTATGATACTCTAGTATATATACTGGAGTATATATACTACACACTAGTAAAAGACAAGGTGAGTGAGGCACAAATTCATCCCTGCAGGAGGTGGCAAGACTAAGAAAAATCATGTTCAAAAGTTTAGATGTGTGCACTGTAGAAAGAGCCTCCATAGGTGCAACCTGATTTTCAGGACTCCCAGTTAGCAGTCAGCAACCTTCCTTTAAATCTGGGCATCTTTCCATTGGCCCTGGTGATAATTCATTATGTGTCTTAGTTTAACACAAGATAAACTTCCATACTTTGTAACCATTTACTATATTACAGTATTGATTGTTATCCTGCTAACATATTTATCTCTGTTTTGATTTTTACTGTAGTTTGCAAGAGGAAAAAAGGCTTTTGGAAAATGAATATGAAAGAATTCTGAAACAGAAGGTTAGTAGAAAACATGAGAAAAGCAATGTTTTATGTAAAAACATGTGGAAATGTTTTCACAGTGAGTATCTCTATTTAAAATGTGAAATACATAGGAAAAATAGCTTTCTAGAAAACAGGGTTTATAGGAGAGACTATATTATATCATTCAGTTTTGATAATTTTAGGGCAAGCAATGAAGAATTGATTCAGAAAAGATCTGGATTTTCCTAAATTTGCTCAAGAAAATGTTTACTGTATTCAGCAAATGGCTACTGCATGTAAATATAGCTGCAGGATTTTGGTTCTAGGATGTGAGCATAAAAATATATTTGCAGTCATAAATCCTCGTGAATATATGTGGGTTTGTCTGCTGGTTATTGATTGAAGAAACACACATCTGGTGAAAAATATATGTTTCATACCTTGTTGCAAAAATCATCACCATCATTTGATGTTAGTGATACTGTACTATCACAAGCTTGTAAAATGTGAAAGGGGAAATAAAATTAATCTGATCTTTTACTTCATTTTTAAAGGAAGCAGATAAGAAAAGTAAACAGCTGAAAGAAAGTGACAATGAGCTCTGCATAGAAGTAATTCAGAGGAAAGCAGAAATTGGTGCAATAAAAGAAGCTATTTCATCCAAACAACAGCTGATAATATCGGATGAGAAAGAAACAAAGAAGCTTCTGGAGAAGCAGGGTCACTTAAAAGTAACACAAAACTAGTTGTGCCTATGTATATCTGTGGGGGTGTGTGCATGTCTGTGTATATGGGTATGTGTTTGGTCCAAGGGAACACTGAATCTTCTGAGTGTTGTTTGGCTTTCAGAATTCATTACATGGCACTACATTAGGGAATGGTCACAAGCTGAGATAGGGGAGAGTCAGATGAGATGATAGGAAAAATGTTTTCCCTGTTAGGGTGTTCAGACACTGGAATAGGTTGCCCAGGGAGGTGGTGGAGTCACCACCCCTGGAAGTGTTTAAGAGGTGTCTGGATCTGACACTGGAGGATCTGGTTTAGGGTTTAGGGGTTCTAGCAGTGACAGGTTAATGGTTGGACTCGATGATCTTAGAGGTCTCCTCCAACCTTGATGAGTCTAGGATTTTTCAACTGGCATGAAATGTGCTGCTGTGCCATATCTTTGTTACTCCTTTAGGAAATAATAGTCATGGTTTTGATTAAAAATTGGTTTCCTCAAAGACATCTTTGCTATATTGTGTTATTGTAAGCTGCTCAGACTAAAGTTAATACAGATTTATGATAAGAATTAAAAAACACACCCAGGTCTGCTGCTTTCCTTTCCATGGTATAGATAGCATAAGATGATGTATTAATAATATCCAAGCATAATTTTTATCTTGAGACATAATTAAATCATAAATATCAATGTTTAGTTTCCAAAGTAGCAGCTACAAATCCCTGGGACAAATTCATGTAATTTAAAATTATGTTTCCTACCCTTTTCACAGCAGTTCTAAATGAATATTACTATTAATCAATTAATCTACTATTAAGCTATTAATCAAATCTTTCTGTCTTGTCACTAGGATGAGCTAGTTAAGATCCTTGATGTTACAAAACTACTTGGAAAAGAAACGGAGAAGATAATTCAGAAAAAAAAGTATGTTTTTAATGATTGTATATACATAAACATATATATGTATGATTTCTCTTCACCCCTTTGTTATAGAGATGATTGAGGATAGTTGCTGATTAAAATTAGGATCAGCATTTAAAAAGGCATCTATAATCCACTTAAAATCCTTGCACTGTATGGAAAATTATAGTATGTGCAGTGAAACACTGTAAAGTACAACAAAGAAAAAGTTAGAACAAAGCCTGGTCAGAAATCACTTAACCATCTCACTGTGCTGTGTTACTGTATTTCACACCTGATCACTAGATTTTAATGGAAAATAATGTTGCTGTGTACTTTTGTGATTAGGCTTTGTTTTTCACAGTTTCTAGTAGTCAGTGCCTGTGTGTTAGCTCATCTCTGTTGGGTGAAAGCAGCAGTTTCCACCTCTGGCAGTCTGGCCTGGGCTACATACCCATTCTCCCTTGGTATTTCTGTACCAATTATTGAATCACACGTGCTTTGCTCTAAGGTCCTAATGTGAATTGTGGTCTCTAATACTTCTCCAGGGACAATGTAAGCCAGTAGGCAGCCCTGTCTTTCTCTTTCTTGTGGAGCTGGTTTTTCTCTCCCCTGAAGCATGGCCTGTGCTGCTTTCTGTAAGTGTAAAATCTAATTAGCACTGTGCAGTTTCCACCAGGTCACTCCCAGATCCCAGAGTCCAACTGCCATCCAGATGAATGATGGGGTTTGTACCCTAGTTGTGCACAGGGTTACACAGAGGTTTTTGTGTCTCCTGCTTCCAGTCCCTATTTGTATACAGAAACTCTTTGACTATGTTAAATTTCTCAGGTTTAAAACTTGTATGATGCTTTTCTTCTACATTTCCCTCACTGGTCAGCTTAATGCAACTCTGTCATCATAAATCTAAGAAGTTTTCCCTATGGTGTTACTGAGAAGCAATTTTTAAAAGCTAGGACATTGCGTAGATTGCTATTAACAAAATGTTTAAATGAGTCTTTATATTTGTGTCACGTTACAGATGGAAACAGGCACTGGAACAACTCCCTAGGGAGCTGGTCACAGCCCCAAGCCTGACAGAGCTCCAGAGGTGTTTGGCCAATGCTCTCAGGCACAGGGTGTGATTGTCAGGGATGTCCTGTGCAGGGCCAGGAGTTGGGCTAGATGGTCCTCAAGGGTCCCTTCCAACCCTGTTCTCTGATTCTGTGAACTAACCAGAGTTTCCAGTCTCAGAAATAACATTTAGAAGTGTCACCCCCATGTACCTAGTAATGTTGCCAGAAATCAGTTGACTAGAACTCTTTTTAATACCATCCTAATGCTAAACTCTTGGTTAGACCCACAGACATCTGCAATTTTATTGGTGAACTGTATTGCAATTTGAAGATCTTCAGAGTATGTAGTTTGCTTTCAAACACAGAACTTGCGTTGTTGTGGTGAAATGACTTTGTGGCCAGGAAAACTGGGAACTTACATTTTGCCATTGAAACATGCATGTGGAAAAGTTAACTCCTACTCCTTTGTTGAAATATATCCACAGGGATGCAGAGAAGCAGAATGAGACCCTCAATGACCAAACAGAAGAGTTGATTAGAGCCCTGAAAGCCACTGACAAAAGGAAAGAAGAGATCTTGCAAGAACAAGAAAGTGTCATGAAGGAGTTGAATAAGAAACAAATTTTGCTAGAAAGCAAAGAACGAGAATTCATTGCTCTGACAAAGTTACTAGAAATTAGCAGAGAGAAAGTATCAGGGATCCTATCAGACAGGTTAGACATAAGCCATGTAGCATGAGTGACGAATTCTCAGTTCTCAAAAATCTATTTCTTCTGCTGTACTGCTTATGTTTTCAAGTTTTATGCTGCAACCAGTGCAGACTAGAAATGGTCAGGCTTGGGTTTGCCTTCAGAAATGTCTGCATAAATGTTTGGAATCTGGAATCTAGGGTCTGGGCTCATAGAGCACATCAAAAAGCATAAACATTTGATAAAATCCTGGAAGAGTGAAACTGGATTTTGCTCTGGAAAGGGAAGTATTTTAGTGGGTTTCTCTCTTCGGTGCAAATATTTTCTTTTCTTACTGAAAATAAATAGAAGTAAAAATATATCAGTATTTTCATCTTCAACTGAGGATCCTAGAAGTCTGCACTCCTGTACTGAATTTCAGTGGGGATTGGTTCCTCATCTCTTTAATATTCCTTTGAATTATGAACTTATCTATGCTTAGCAAAGTAAATTAAACTATTAGGTTGATGTCAAGCTTCAAATGATTCCTTATTTGCAGAGGAAGAGGTAGAGTTGTAATCATGGCCATAGGCTCAGCAAAAATCCTTCTGCCTTTACAGCTTTGTGTTAAAGACTGTGGCACTTCACATTGAAATGTTCCCTCATACTAACAAATGTATTGTCTTCCACTCATATAATTGTTCCCCTGGAATTTTTAGCTTATTTAGAACAGACTGAAACCTCATTGACATAATTAGGAATATTATGATTCATTAAAGTTATAAAAATGTTACTTTTTTAGGTCATTTTTGTCAGTCATTTAGGAGTTTATCTTGCTGCTGAGCCGTAATGATGAAGTACTCAGAACCCATTAAACTGCTCATGCCTGATTACATCTGTGTCTTGGTGAAGTTAGCTGTTTCTAAAATTCTGTGTCTTTCTATACAGAGAAGTTCTGGAAGAAAAATTAAAAAAATGTGCCTTGGAGAAGGAAAAGCAACATAATATCCTCATCCACAAGCAAACACAGAAAGACAGAGAACTGAGAAATTTAAAAAAGATGGAGTTAAAACTGGGTATGATTTATGATTCCTTGGAACAAGATAAATCACAGCATAAAGCACTCAAATCAGAGGTATGTATGAATGCATTGATCTTAATGGTTCTAAATTTTTTTGTAAGAAATCTGTCTATGAGATCTTTTGACAGTCCTAGAAGGGGGAGGGGAGAGGACTTATTTCACCTTCCTTATTTCCTCCTTGCCCTGGTATTTTATCCATTCCTCTTTCAATACTGCTTTGCTCTTTTCTGTTTTGCTCATGTTGTTGACTATGGTGATGTTAAAGCAAAGTCTCAATCTTCTTGTGTATCCCAAGAATTTTCTTTATTTTCTGCTTGCAATTCTTTCTTAAAAGTTTACTTTGTCTATAAATTTTTATTTTCCCTTTCTCTCATCATTGGTTCTTCCATTTTCTCTTTCTTAGGATTTTCCCTGTCCTTGCTCCTTGCTTAGTCTAAATTGTAAGTCAGTCTCAATAAATTAATCTTGTTTAGTCAGGTGAATATTTTTTCACAGGACATCATGTTTCCTACTTTGTCCTTGAGACTTTACTTGGTCCTTCTAAGCAATTCAGGGCAGAAAAAAGTTTTCTTTACTTCAAAAAATAACTATATATCAAACTCATTCATACCTGGCTTTGCTAGTTAAACAACTCTAAGTATTACTTGATAATACTTAATATTATTAAACAGTATTATTTTCATCTCCCTTGAAATTCCTCCTGAATTCGTATATATATTTCCTAGCAGTATAAGCTCACCTGGGAGGAGGGAGGAAAACTGACTACACAGCAAAGTTTTGGACTGAATTTCCTGAAACAATTAAATGGATGACTCATATTCCAGACTTTGATCTTAAAGCTTAAAGAGTTTCTGTTTAGTATCACTTGAGAGGATCAAGGACATGGTGTTTTTTCTTGTGTTCCTGTTGAAGAAATATTCCTGGAGGGAGAACCACAATTGTTCAAAAACATGTAATGCTACAATCAAATGCCATAACTCACTGACCGTTGTGGTTAGAGTTCACAGTTCTGGGTGAGATCCAAGCCCAGACCAACTCCTTCACGTTGTGAAAGGGCAAGACCTTGGATATGTCTTAGAAGTAGCTTCATCAGGATGAGTAGGGGAAAGGGAATGTCTGGAGGAACAGAAGTGGAATTCCAATCAGTATTTCACTCCAGAAGCTGCAGGATGCAGATCAACAAGCCTAATGAAAGGGAGTTGTAGAGAGGTGGGGAATGTCCCTCCTGCCATGGCTGCAGGGAGACAACCAGAGGGAATGGCCTTGAGCTGAGACAGGGGAGAGTCAGATGAGATGTTAGGAAAAATGTTTTCCCTGTTCAGACATTGGAATAGGTTGCCCAGGGAGGTGGTGGAGTCACCATCCCTGGAAGTGTTTAAGAGGCATCTGGATCTGGCACTGGAGGATCTGGTTTAGAGTTTAGGGGTTCCAGCAGTGACAGGTTAATTAATGGTCGGACTTGATCTTAGAGGTCTCCTCCAACCTTGATGACTCCATGATTCTAATGCAAACAGGCCACAGCAATATAGACCATCCTCCAATGCTCTGTGTTTTCTCTGATTCCTTTCCTGCTCTTTTAGAAGAGCAAATGTGCAATCCCTGCTCCTCTGCAGCATGGTCAGTCCAAACACAGCACTGCAGTATGGCAGATTAGAGTGGCAAGCTCATTCTGCTTGGCTTTTGCTATATGAGACTGAATCTGTAAGTCTTTGGAGCATACCTAACAAAATTTCCAATCTTTGAAGTAGTTAAAATTCCTTTAACTACTTAACCCCCCATATTTACATTTATTCACTGTGATTCCTAGTGGAAAAAAAATCCCAAGAATCAATTGCTAGTATAAAATCAGTGATTGCAGAAGCAGCAGCACATCGGTGTGCTTCCCCAAATCTCTCTTCTTTTGAATCATCTGCCAAGTGCAGAATGATTGGTCTGTCGAATAAGGAAATTACAGGAACACTTCCTTCAAATATGTTTTTCTCAGTAAGTTGTGAAAGGTCAACTGTTGCTAAATGCTGATGTTCTGTGTGAAAGAGAAGTGCCACTCAGGCACTGCAGTTCTGCTCCATCTCTGCCTTCTCTCCAGTCAGGCCAATGCAGAGGCAGCCAGAAGTGTCCACGTTTAGTCATGTTTTATGTGAACAAATGTCCCTAATGGATTAAAGATGTTTATATGAGCTTTTTGCTTTTACACGGCAGGAATGGTAACTAATATATGCTTCACAGAAAAGCTACTTTTGCTCCCACCATAAGGGTGAAGTTAACATTCTGAGAATAGGTTTTCTTGACCTTTTAATAAACCTAAGTCACCTAAAACCTAAATCAAGTCTCAGAGCTGGCAGCTAAACCAAAGCAACTCCACACTTTAACCTTTACTGTGCCTCTTGTTTCCCTTTCCCTTAATGCAAGTGAACAGCATTTAATTTTGTATTTTCACAGAAGTGAAAACCATAAGTGCAAAACATCTTCTTATCAGTGTTGAGGTATCATGTTTGGAACTCCAACATCTGGTTGAGATCTGAGTCAGATGCCACAGGGCTGTGTGTATTATTTTTTAATATCTTCTGGATGTGTTGTGAAATGTCATTTTTTTCCCACCTGCATGAATTACAGATTTGAATCATAGAACAGTTTGGGTTGAATGGATCTTTAAAGGTCATTTAGTCCAAACCCCTGTGATAGGCAGGGACATCTTCATCTCAGTCAAGTTGCTCAGAGCCAGGTCCAACCTGACCTTGAGTGATTCTGGAGACAGAGTAATGTGTGCCAGTGCTTCTCCACCTTCATTGTAACAAACTTCTTCCTCATATCTAACCTAAATCAACCCTCTTTTGTTTCAAAACTTGTACTATCACAACAGGCCCTGCTAAAAACGTTTTCCCCATCAGTTAGAGACAGGAAAAATATGCCTGAATAGTTAGGCTACTGCATTTATTTCTTACTTGCTTCTACCCATAAAGAATTTTTAAGTGCAGTTACTGTGAGTAAAACAACCTTTAGTCTTACAAGTTCCATCATGCAAGTAGTTGTAGTGAGATTATTCAGATATATTTTAGTCAGAAGGTAGTTTCTAACATGTATTCCTTCCCACACTTCATTTTAAAATGTGATTGAATCACAAAATTTTCTCATGAAAAAATAGTACTTAACTGTTTGTGTTCTCAGTTTTGGCTTTCTAAAGCCTAAGGACAATCCTACTTTAATAACAAAAAGGAAAAAAAATTATTGAATCTGCATAAATGTGAATTACTGACTGCACTAAAATCAGTGGTAGATGTATTTTTTTTTCCCTTCAGTAAGGTCACAATTTCAGTCAGAAAATCCTCCATGAATTTAGAAGGTGCCATTTTTACATAGTCTCTCTCTGTGGTTATTGCTTTTTTAATGACAGTTTAGTACTCTTGGACTAGCTATTGTAATAAGAGAGAATTTTGATTGTTTCAGATTAATTGTTCAGATTAATTTCTGAACTTGTGTAGCTACTTTAAATAGAGTATCTGCAGTTTACGTTTTGTTCATATTTTGTTTGCATCACTTGTGTGCTTGGTTTATTTTTGTAGGCAGAAACTATCTCAAAGAGTAATGAAGAATTATTAGAAAGACGACGAGAGCTGCAGAAGGAAATTGAAATGATCAAGAGAAGTTTGGCTGAACAGGTGCTGAGTTCTGCTTTCTTGGATTTTTTCTCTATAGCAGTTGTTTTTCTATTATGACAATAAAGGGATTGTTTGAAATAAAAATAATGGGAGTTTCTAGCTGCAGGTTTCTGGTGAGAAATCGGGATTTGTTCAATTTTAAAGACCACTTTGTAAGTTTTATGAAATAGTTTTTGGTATTGCTGGCCACATCCTGGAAGATAGAAAGCAAATCTACTTTCCAGTTTAAGTCTTTCTGAGTATCATCAATGACACTGCAGCTAGAAATATGATGGGTACAGGTTTCCCTTGGATATGAATCAGTGTCTTTTTGCAACAAGGACAATTCAGCATTTGTACATTATAATTTTTCATCTTCACAGCTTTGTCCTTTGTGGATGTCTGTGCTCAGCACATTTTCTTTTCACGCTGTCTTTGAATTCATTAGCCTTGTCAGGTGGGAATCAGCTTGTGTTTGGATACAGATATGTTAGGGATCTACTTGTCACTGTCTGGGATATGTATCTAGTGTGTCCTGGGAAGCTTCCATTCACCTCCTCCTGGAGAGTTTTGCCTAGATTGGGAAGGACAAAGAGCTCTACAGAGGTCACTGACTGTATTGACTAAATTTCCAACAACTCTAGGCATCTACTTTGTGCTGTTTTAAATGTCTAAATTTGACCCTTAACATGAGAACTTGGTGCCTTCCATTGTGTAGTATAGACATGCCAAGACCTAACAATGAACTTTATTTAAAGATTCTATGGCTATAAAGATCCATTGTGTCCAGTGGGCAAAGACATGTTAGGCTGAGGTACAGAAATGCTTCTAGGTGCTAACATACTTGGACATGCTATTACAGAGACTGTGCATGATGTTTTAAAGCAATAATTCACTATGTTTTTACATCCAAACCTTGGGTTTTCCAACACTTCTGCACTGATGCCTAAGAAATGTGATTTTCTTTAGGAGAGGATGTCAGATATGGATGCCCGCGTGTTGGAAAAATGCATTGCTGAAGAACAGTTGCTGTTCAAAGAGCAGGAAAAATGCAGAAGTGAGTTATCCAGACTTGCACATCTGACTTGGCTCAGAGATGAAGAGAGGCAAGAGAAATCCAGGGATGCTCATAAAGCCCAGGTAAAAAATGATCTCATATATTTGGAAGAGTATTCAAAAGTAAAAGGAGGTATGGGAGGAATTGAATTCCTGGTGAGGAGAGCCTTATGGACTCTCCCTTCCCACTCCAGCTTTGAAGTTCCACCAGAACACAGGAAGCTCACAATACTGTGGTGTTTTATTGGCAATTTTTTGTGCAGTGCTGCAGGACATTAAAATATCACTCCACAATTGAAAGAAGGTATTTGAAAAGATATTTCCTTCAAGCCTATGGAATAAAATTAATAATTTGAAAGAAAGAGACAGAAAAAAAACAGAGAAACTCAACTGACATTATGAGAAGTATAACTGTGTATTTTAGCTCACACATATATGCAATAGACGATAACAGACTCAGACTGTCTATAAAAATAGACTAAATTAACATCTCAGGCTTTGTACCTTGAATAAAAATCAGTCCATAAAAACAGTACAAATCCAGGAACATACAAACATGCTCAGAGTTACAACCCAACATTCATCAGCTTTTCCTAACACAAATCTACTCCTGGTACCAGTGGGAGGGGAGAAAAGGCCTTTCCATTGAAGGCTAATGGCTCAGGCTATTGAGGACTGAACACAGGTGCAATCCAAAGGTCCAGAGCCCCAACAGGATGTAAAAGTACCATCCTGCCTTGCATAAAGGTCAGAACTGAGTAAAAAAAGTAAATTTTACTGGTGAAGGTACAATTTCAATGGTGCATTTGCCAAAAAATTATCTAGTGGTGGAATTTACAGGGTGATAAATAGGAACAGTAAAACTCCAGATCCAGGGGACCAAGTATTTTAAGATGAAGCATCAAATCATCTACATTAATAACAGCCATTATAAACTTAATATAAATGGGAGAACTGTTCTTTAATGTTGCTGCAATAAAAGCATTTCATTATAACTGGAACAAGTTCTTCTAATCTCCCCTCGCTGTGTTTTCCTCAACCCAGACCTGCTCTGAGTCATTTCTTTGAAGACATTTCTTTGCTATATCTAAATTCCTCAATAATTCTATTTAAATTTCAGATCCAACTCCAAAATATTATTAAAGAAATGAAAAGAAAGGATCGTGAAATAAGAGACTGTAACAGGAGGAAAAAAGAAATCCAAAACCAGTAAGAAAATAATAACAATATATTATCTTAAAAATTGTTTTTAAGTCAAGAAATGTATGCATAAAAGTCTAATAATTTTTTCTTTCACGCATGCCATTTCTTCAGACTCCAAGGATTTGCTAAAATGTGTGATCTTATCCACAAGGAAAGGGATAAATGCATAAGTTTGGCAAATGCTGCTCGGTGGAAAACAAGGAAAACCGAAAACCAGGTCGAACTGCTACAAAATGAACTGGGAAATCTAAGGACTGCTGCTATAACCAAGGAAAGGTGAGTTTAGAGTAAATTGTAGTTCACAATTACCGAAATGTAAGATGAAGAAAAATCTTGAGAAAGAATCTAGTTGATCTTTAGTTATGCCTCAATCATCCTTGGTAGTTATTAGCCTGATTTTAAAACCTGAGGCAAACAAAGACATTTAGGAACAGCCTCATGTAATCTGTTCCAATTTCTTACCCCCTAACACATCACAACTTGCTTGGGCACCACTGCATGGCAGGAAGCATTTTTGAAGTTTGTCTAGCTACTCCCTCACTTTCTCACCCTTTGCAGGGATAAATTCTCATTGTCTTTCCTTTAGATCACATCTCTTAAAGCTCTTTATCTTTGCATTATCATGCTGTTTAGTTCAGTGGGAGCAACACTTGAACTCATGCTTGCTGTCCTTGGAGAAAAAGAGCTCCAACACATCCATAATCCCACAATGAAGTGGTGCATGGTCCTATTAAATGAATCACTAGCTAGGAATGTGGCTGTGTGATTATTAAATTAGTATAAACTGAGTTTATTGGTTCAAACTCACACTAAAGTTTATTGGATAACATTTATTTCAGATAAACCCAAACATGGTTTCAATTTCCAAGACAAAATGAAAGGTTACATGCCCAACAAAGAGGATGAGGCAGAACAGCTGGTGCTAGTGACTCTGTTTTTTCCTAGGCCATTATTTAGTAGAGATATCTCTTTGCCATCTTTTTGTCATTCTAGTCATGACATTCTGCAATACAGACAGAATTAAAATGTCTTGGAAATTGGTAGTTGGGAAAATAGGGAGATAGTGAATAGCCAACTGTATAAGCAAAACAGGACAAACAAACCAGAGTAGTCTAAAAATAACTTGATTTTCCCAAAACTTTGTTGTTCGGTGCCAAAATATTGCGCAAACAGAACAAGGAATACACTCAGTGTGTTGGGAATCTCCTAGTAGTTTGATTGCAAAGTCATGCTGGAGGTGGCTAAAAAAGGAGAGGAACTTCAGTGATTTAAGGGATTTTGTCAGGATGCACAAACTGACATTTTGTGGGAAAGTTTTTGATGCCTTCACAGTTGCTGAAAGCAAGAAAAAAAAGACTAAGAAGACAGATAAATACTGTAGAGATATCATAAATATATAATTATTATAGATACAGAGCCAACAGATATTTTGGTCTCTGCAAACCTAGATTTAAATCCAGCCAGAAGTACTGAATTTTCAGTATTTCTCTTGCCTATGAAAAATATTTTTCATCCCAGTAACAGACTTTAGTATCAGCACCACTGACTTCACTGCAGCCTTTGCAATTTGGAGGACAGAACGTCAGTCCAAATAAGACAAAAGTTTTTCAGAAAACATTCAAACCACATTGCATTTCTGCAATGCTCTCATTGCGTTCAGGCTGAAACTTGATTTACAGAAGTTTAATTCAGCTCAGTAACACCCTGTGGTCCTCAGAGTGGGGGGAAAAAAAAGCAGACAGCAGCTCACTGTCCTGAATGCAGCAATTCAGCAACTTAGTGATGGAGCCCATGGGGGGAGAGTATTTCATCTACAGGTCTGAATGTTAACAGGACACTCTGCTTCTCCTTTCACTACTTCTTTTGTGTGTTGGTGTTGGTGTGAATATCTTCCCAGTGGAGATAATGTCGTGTCTCCATCCAGACGTGACACTTCCCACAGATCACATGCAGCAACTCTTCCGTTCCGTGTCATGATCCATGTGGTAACAAGAATCTATCTTGAAGTGAGGAACCATCACCCTGTGACCAGCCAGGATGTTCCAAATACTAAATTCTGTGCTCTCTTTTTATGTGAGCTTTTCACTAGCCTTCCACTATGATTTTTCTTCATCTGTCAAATGGGCAATCTGATCATTTTCTTGTGTTAACGTTGTGACACGTTGTTTTATAAACAGTAAACTTGGAGAGCTCTGAGCTGCAACCACAAAATTATTTCAATATTGTTCTTCAAATAGAAGGGCAGAACTTCTACACATTAAGACTTTGGATCACAGTTTATGCTTCTTCTCTTGAACTTTATCTCTTATGGGCCCTTGGGTTCCCCAGAAGAGAAGAGCTGTGGTACAGTACCCTCTTTATAGCATTTTCCTTGGGCTTCAATCCAGTTCTTTTCAAGCTGGAAAAAAGAAAAACTGTTCTCAGAGAGTCTTTTTACTTCTTGTAAGGCTTCTGCGAAGCACAGTGACATAGAGGATCCTTTGTGCATTTAAGGAGTAAGTTTAAGCTCTGCCTTTAATTGCTGAAAGGACTAAAAATGTTCCTATATTTCTGTTATGTCAAAGAAAACTGCAGGAACGACACCTGAAGATTAAAAATAACGTAACCATTATAGAGCATCTCAAAACTGATTGTTGCAAAATGGTGCAAGTTATGCATGAGATGGAAGAAAAGATAAAACACCGGTGCCTGAATCTGGAGAGACTCACCACGATGGTCAACTGCATCAAAGAGGAAATTGTGCAGCTACACAAAAAACACGAAAAAGCCATTCAGCAACAAAAAGAGAGGTACTTGTGTATATATGTATGGAATATATATATGTAAATTTGGCCTCAGGCAGTGTTTAACCTTGACATTCATGAAGCAACAATATTTTTCTGTTTACGAGCACTCCTAGTTAGGAATATTCCAAGTCTGCCACACTGCAGCATTTGGCTGAGCAGTGCCTCACTGCACTGCCAGGGCTGCTTTGCAGTAGGTGGATGTTTTTCCACTGGTGACAATGCTCATTATCCAGAACTATCATCCAAAAAATATGGTGCTTTGGCTACTGAACTTGTAGCCTCCTGCTCTGACTGTGCACAGAGAAGTTATTAAAAAAGGAGATCTAAATCTCTCTGACCTTGTTATCTATTTTTAAATGCTATGAAAAGCCAGAAGACCTTCAAAACTATATGAGAGACAAGAGTGACCTCTCCAAGTGTTTGCTCTTGGATTTCCACATTCAAATTATTTTGTTAGCTATTTAAAATGTCATTATAGAAGCTATTATTTGTGAAAGCTTTGTACATTTTCCAGATTATTACTATATTTCAAGGCCATCAGTTATGTTCTTGAATGGAATACACTGAGTATGAGTAATGAAAAGAAAAATATTACCTTTTCATTTTGACCTTGTTTCAGTGATCTTCTGCTCAGAAAACGAGAAGAAGTACTAGGCTTGTTACATGCCAGAATAGAAATTCAAGAGATGATGTGTAGAAATAGAGATACTGAGGTGCAAATTCTGGATGAAGAGATCCAACTGCTGAAGCTGAAGGTAGCTGAGGAAAAGAGGCAGATTACACAGCATTTTAAAGAGTTCTCTGTGAGGAATGCCCGGGCTGCACATCTGGTGGGACTTCAGACACAGGTTGGTGGCAAAGCCTTTTAAAACTTCAGGTGATACTATAGACAAAGATGCCTGGATGTACAAGGTTTGTCAAAGCAGCAATTTCAGTAATGCACCTGTCTAGGAAAACACTGCCACGTTTTTAACTTCAGCTGTGTGACCTTCTATGCTTATATGGCTGATGCACTTCATTACACACAAGCCAAACTCTTCCTGGGTATGGAATCTCAGCTAATCCTCTCCATAGCCTGAAATGTCAGAATGACTAAGCTGGAGAATGGGAGTCATGGGGGAAAAAATGGGACTGTAGATAAAATTTGTTAAAACGGTATTGATGGGGTAGGTGGAGGGGTGGGAGAGACACTTAGCTTGTCAGATCTCTAAAATAATAACTCAATTCACACTTGACCCTGAGCCTACTCTGGAAACTCTGCTGCCTACAATGATATAATCCACATATATTTTCTTCTACACAAAAACAGTGTTAAGTTTTAGTCCTAGTTACAAAATGACATTAAACAACTAACAAACTGCAGTGCTTGGGACATTCTTTCCTTGCTTTCTGAAATGGCTCATTTACTTTTGACCTTATCTCCAGATGGTAATTTTTCCCATACATACTCCATCGGTGCCTGCACAAAATCATGAACTAGGGTGTCCCATTGCCTCTCAAACTTGCATGGATGGGAGCTGTGACTCACAGCTACATAGTGACTCCACTATGCTCTTGTTTCTGGCCTTTCAAAGGACTTGCATGCTCTGCTACAAGAATAAAAGGTTGTACAATACCTCATGCAAATCACAGCCCAAAGAACTTGATGGGGCCATGACAGATTTAAACAATGAACAGAGGCAGCAGGGGAAAAAAAGACTAAAGGGGGGAAAAAAAAGCATGTTTTCAGGTAAGATTTAGAATGAGACTGAGAATCACTGGGTCAAATGCAGTAACAAAATGCAGATGATTTTTGTGAACTGCCAGAGATTCAGACTAGGTGTTACGAGAAATGTTTTCCCTGTTAGGGTGTTCAGGCACTGGAATATTGCCCAGGGAGGTGGTGGAGTCACCATCCCTGGAAGTGTTTAAAAGGCATCTGGATCTGGTGCTGGAGGATATGGTTTAGGGTTTAGGGGTTCCAGCAGTGACAGGTTAATGGTTGGATTTGATGATCTTAGGGGTCTCCTCCAACCTTGATGATTCTATGACAGAGTCAATAATGAAACTGTTCTGCATTCCTGTAATGTTCTCCTTGGTGATGGTGGTTCACATGGAACCTAAAGTCACTGTCAAAGGGAGGTTACTGTTGCAGGTGCTTTAAATCTTTTTGCAATATTGACATAAAATTAAAAAGAAGGAAAATACACAGTGGGGTGATATTACCCGCGCAGTACTCTTAATAAATATTCCCAAGGCAGAGATTTTCCAGTGAACAATGGCAAAGAACCAGTTATCAGCCTTTACAATGTAACTAGATACTGTGATTACTGAACATTGCATGGTTCACACTGGCTGTTAACTCATCCATCTCCTTATGCCCAACCATTCCAGCACTGCCAATAGGCATTATGTCCAGTGAGAAGCAGTTTCAAATTGTTTGACTTTATCTCCATGATTTAAATGAAAGCCTTAAACCCAAACCTAAATTCTGGTTTGATTGCCAAATTCAGATTGCTAATTCCTGTACCAGTTACAGATTTGACCCCATGTTGAAACCACACCCAGCTTCTGTTCAGTTATCACAGCCAAGGGATCTGATGAGAATGATCATTTGGAGGAGACTTTGACTAATGTAGTGAATACAGTTTTAAACCACTGGTCTAGGAAATCAACCTCTGAAGCCAAGTTGAAATCTGAAGAAGTGGTAACAGGAGCTCCATTTGGTCTATCATTTGTGTGTCTTTCAATTTAGATAATTATAAATGTTCAGATAGAGGACTGTGAAACCCTGATTTCTCTCAGAGGCCCTTAGACCTCCTCTAATGCAGACTGTAAATCTCATTTCTAGTTCTCCTCTTTGGTTTTATTTCTCCATTCTCTTGTGACCTTGTGTAGGAGCCAGTGTGGCTAACCTGAACTTGGTGTTAGGAGCCCACAAATGATGCAGATAAGTGAACAAGGTCTCTTTATTGATGGAAAGAATTGTTTGACTTTGCCTCCAGAGGGAGATCCTGATAACCTTATATAGGGATCACAATATTCCTCTTTATTCTTCCCCTGATTCCAAGGCACCTACCTCTGCCTATTGATGGGATGGGAAACTTTGACTTGTGTAAGGACTCTTTAAAAGTAATTTACAATTGAACTACAGTTTAGACCACCTGGATTAGGCAGGCTGAAGCCTCTGAAGCCTCTGAAATTTTCAACTCCCCATTCCCTCCCCTTCCAGTCTCCTTCAGCCTTAAGCAGTACCATACCTCTGCTAAGCAAGTGCTAGTAACATATGGACTAGGTAGTTTTTGTTACTATTGATGTAAAGGATTAAACTCAGAAATATTTACAGGCTGCAAAAAACTGACCCATAATCTCAGCAGCTGTGGTGCCCATTGGGAAGGGGAAAAGCTAGGTCAGGGTTGTGTGCCAGCTCAGCAAGAACAGACACATCACCTGGGTCTCCTATATTCCACATGAGCTGCTTAATCATCAAAGTGATGTATGTTCCACTTGTACACTTTTCATCTGCCTATTTCCACAAAAAAAGTGAAACACTGGGGAACAGTTTAGCTAGTAAAATAACATCATCTGAAGCAAGACCAGACCTCTTCTCAGCAAGTGCTACTAACATGGGTTAGGTAGGTTTGTTACTATCAGTATAAATACCTGATAATAGAAATATTTACGTGTGCTTCCTTTATCTGACACAAAAAGTACCTGGAGAGATTGTAAGGTGGTTTTCTCTGGGCATAAAACCATGTAACTTTTAATTGGCACTGCACATCAAGGGACTGTTCCTGCTGCCCGAAGTGACCCATAAAAACTAATCTGCCTTCATGCATCAATGAGAAATACTGAGCATTAATCATTAATTAGTCCAACACTAGACCTGCTGAGCTGTCAAGGTGCTGTAGATGGGACTTTCATGCCTCAGAGTTCAGCTAATGTACAAGGCCTGTCAGTTTATTTGAGGCATTTGGCAACAACATCTGTCCAGGTTTTAATACAATCCCATGAAAATCCCCAGACTGTATCACCATAGTCATAGGATAACAGCACTAGCAGGGACATCAAGAGTTTATCCAGGCAGACTGCTCCTACTCCAGCATCAGATTGCCTGTCACTCCTGAGGGGGCTAAGCTGTGCTTTGAAGCCACCACTGGGATACCCATTTCCCCAGCAAGCTCTCTCACTCCTTCCTTAACAGGGGCAAGATTTGCTTAACCTTTAGCCTGGATCCTTCTTGCTGCAGTGTAAGAATATTCATCTGTGTTCTGTCCACCAGGGACATGACAAACAGACCATTCTTTTCCTTCCTGCAACATTTCGTGTTACTGGAAGTTAATCATGTTCCTCTCCCATCCTTTTGCTAGGCTACACAACCCTGTCTGTTTCAATCAGCCCTTACAGATTTTTCTTAGATCTTTACTGCATTTCTTTTCTGTTTGGCAGTGTGGTCTTTGTTTGTCTTGAGGTGCAGTGCCTAGTATCAGCAGCTGAGAATGAAAGGATTCGTTCAGGCATCTTGCAGGTTATATTCCTGCTTATGTGTCCAGGTATGGTGACAGCTTTTCTTGCCACATCACACAGTGATTCATCCCCATGTAAATGTATGTAACAACCAGATCCTTCTATAAAGAAAGGGTATCCAATCAGTTGACCTTGATTCTGTATTTGTACAGGCAATTTTTCCTGCCTATATGGAGAAACTTGCATTTTTTATTTAATATTATCTATGTGGTTCAGACCTTTTTTTCAGACCAAGGTAATTTTGAATTCCAGTTTTCTCCAAAATGTTCTTGCACTCTCTCTCAGCTTAACCTCATTCTACTGATGTAGTACTTATCCAATATTTTCATCAAGAATCCATTTCCTAAGCTTGTTTATGAGAATAGCACTTAGAATCATAGAATTTTAGGGGTTGGAATGGACCTTACAGATCATATAGTCCCAACCTCCCCTGCCCTGGGCAGGGACACCTCCCACCAGAGCAGGTTGCTCAAGGCTTCATCCAACCTGGCTGTGAACACTGCCAGGGTTGGGGCAGCCACAGCCTCCCTGGGCAACCTGGGACAGTGTCTCACCACACTCACGGGGAAAAAAACTTCTTCCTAATATCTAACCTAAATTTCCCCTCCTTTGATTTGAATCTGTTACCCCTTGCCCTGTCACTGCAGCTCCTAACATGAAACAATATTGAAGCCATATAAAATCCACATTGTATGACACCTGCTATGTCATCCATGCATCTGTGAAAGTGTCATAGTAGGATCTTTGACAATTCCTCCTGACTTGTTACAATCCAAGGTAGAAAAGCCAAACTTGCAGAGCCTTCTCCTATCCCCTGTATCAAATTCACTCCAATAAAGAAAGGATTTTTTTTCTTTTAAGACTTAGAATGTCTCGGACCTCAGATAAACGAAAGAGTAAAGAAAGATGCCTATAGTCACATCACTTAAGCAGAGACAGAATAGCATAGTTATCTCTTTTGAATTAGCTTGAATGTTGTCACTTCCAATTCATATTGCATTTAAAAGTGATCCTAGTATTTACATTTAACATCAAACTTTTCGTGGATTTTTTCCCTCTGGTTTAGACAGTGGTTTTGCTGCAATAATCCTTCTCTAAATTGACTATTCAGTCCTGAAAAATGTTCCTTGGTGAGCTGCCCCTAATCTCATTAAGGTACCACTGCCTCCAACAAGGCATTTTCCCCTGGGTTAGTGGTTGAGAGATTTGGCTCCAAATAGGAAAGATCAGTGGAAGCATAGCTGTATCCTGCTGTTTGTGCTGGCCTTGCTGTTACATTCTTCTACTCTGTGTACTTTTGGGCTTGAGTTTTAGTTGTTTATAATTAAAATGTATCTTTCAGTACCTAGTGATGCACTGAATCATGGTTTGCCAAGGAAATTGTTCATTACAGTCATTTAAGGTTTTTCCTTTACCTGCTTTTAGACAAAATGTACCAGAGTGAGCTGTGTGGGGGTTTTCTTTACCACAAAAAGAAGTCTTTAAGTGTTCTGGGTAATGTTCCATTGCCACGTGAGAAGATCTGACAGCTGTCCCCTTTCCAGTTAAATATGACTTGGTAACTTCCAGTGACAAGCTCCATCCTGGCAACATCTAAACATTTACCTTAGATTCTGATGGCTGTTCATAACTTTGAGAGCCAGTAACTGCTCATTTCCTTAATCCATCATCACCTGCAGAGGATGGTTACCATGTATGCTTGGGTAGTGTTGTGTAGAGCTAATAGCTCAAGGGTGCAGTGACAATGCACTGACAGATGACCAGGTGTACATCAGAGCACACAGCCCCAGCACTGCCAGTCAGGAAAAAAATTACTCCAGTCACTCCTTCAGTGAGTATTTAGAATCATAGAATCATCAAGGTTGGAGGAGACCTCTAAAATCATTGAGCTCAACCATTAACCTGTCACTGCTGGAACCCTAAACCATATCCTACAGCATCAGATCCAGATGCCTCTTCAACACTTCCAGGAATGGTGACTCCAACACCTCCCTGGGCAATATTCCAGTGCCTGAACACCCTAACAGGGAAAACATTTCTCCTAACATCTCATCTGACTCTCCCCTGTCTCAGCTCAAGGCCATTCCCTCTAGTCCTCTCCCTGCAGCCATGGCAGGACAGACATCCCTCACCTCTCTCCAACCCTGTCAGGGTGTTGTAGAGAGCCATGAGGTCACCCCTGAGCCTCTTCTCAGGGCTAATCACACCCAATTCTCTCAGCCATATTTACATGGAGCCTGGATGTCCATCTAGTGTATTCTAGGAAGTGTTATTCCATGGGAGGTCTCACATCAGAGAGGTCAGGGAACACCTGTCTCTATGGGTCCCAAGGGTACCACATTGCTCAATGTCACTTCAGGAGACTGAGCAATGGGAACTTTTACACAGAAAACTTGGATCCTGTAGGGATGAGACCTTCAGTGCTTACCAGTGGGAAATGGGACTTTCTGGTGTATTCCTGAGGATAAAAAGACATAGCCTGAGGACCAAGAAGCAGGTGGGACTTGATTTCTGGCAGGCAGCAGGATTTCCTCTGTTCTGCAACTGTCACACTGCAGGTCCCTTTTAAAAGAAAGCTTTAAAATGGCTCATAATTTTCTGTGTTACCTGTAAGAAGATGAAGCTGATTTCTATTTGTGCATTATAGGGGCAACCTTTCTGGGGCACAATCTGCTGTTCATGTGCAATAGGAGAGAAGG